CGCCCCGACGCCCCATTCCCTCTCCGATACCTACAACGGGCTGTGAACAGTTGGTGATCGTTCCCTCTGGCTGGATGGATTTTACACACTGCTGCAGCTGGAGGCTCCGCAGCACCACGCAACTTTCTAACTTCTTCCATCTCACAGAGAAAAGAAGTCAGGTCGAAAACAAATTTGCTTTATTGGCATGAATGTTAAAACGACAGTATAGCCAAAGCTAAAGAAATTCTATTCATATAGTTCATCGAATAAATAAAATAAAATAAGTATTTCCATATATTGGATATAGAATAATATTATCTAATATTGTTAATTTCTCTACATCTTCTTTCATCACGACTGTGTCTCCTTCTCTGCTACTTGTTTAAGCCTTTGAACATTGTTGTGTAAGTCAAGACAGAGCTCTACGCTCACTTTCTTCCCAACTCGTACATGAGCTCCTTCATGAAACAATTCAGGAGCACACAAGTAAAAATGTTCAAGTAACACAGAGTTTATCAACAAACTATTTGTTAATATTAATATTTATTATATGTTTATAATGTAATGTGTACGCTCCTCATCCTTGTGTGCAGTTATGATGTGAAAACCAGTGGAGGAAGTCAAGATCCTGGTATCTGGACACTGGGCATGGGCTTTAAGATATTAGCAAAGCTTTTTAAACACTAGTTCAGAGAAAAGAGATTTCACATGGCTTTTAATCAAGAATGTACAGAGTTTTACATGTAGGCCTACATTCCTCCCACAGGCAGTTTAAAACCAAAATATCTCCTAGATCTCCAATGCTAGCTGGCAGGACCAGCAAGAGCTCACGCGTCTCACCGAACAAGAGAAAGTAGGGAAGTGGAAACTCTGTAAAAGCTGTTCAGTTGTTTTTTCTGAAATTAAGCACTTTATTTTAGTTTACTTAAATTTAGAATTTACTATTAGAGTAGTTATTATTTATTATCCCTCCAGTTTGATGTGAAAACTGATAGTAAATATTATTGAAATAGAGTTTATTATTTTATAGTTTTTGTACCAGCAACACCCACAAAACTCACGCCGCACTTTATGTGAACGAATATTTGTAACAATAACTTTTGTAAAACAGATGTAAAACAGAAAAAGGGGAGCATGTTGCTCTCTGGAGGAGAAGGAGCACATATTGGCATCCTGGCTAAATCTACATCTGTCTGCAGAGGCTCTATCACAACCTGGAGGAGGAACTAGTCTAAATGAGTGTATTAGTACAATAATGTTAAATAAAAATGTTAGAATAATAGTATACTGTTGAAATAATGTTTATATTTCTGTAAAACATCAGTTAACAGCCTGGGATTTTATTTGCTTCAATCAACTCAAACTGTCTATATTTGGACAGGCCTTTAAATCCTTTCCTACTAAACTCTCGCTTAGTAAAGATGGGAAATCGGCTACTATCAAATTGTTTATTTCAACCAGTGTGAATACTAGCTGTACAAAACCTACATATCAGTTAACATATCAATTATAAATAATTTATTTGATCATTTAATATATTCATTAATATCTCAAATAATAGTATACTGACTAGCCTACCACTCATATAATATTAATTCTACTTAGAGACGTTTGTTTTCATTTATTACATCCTTGTGCAAACAAAATGCTCTACATAGTGGATAGTCTTTAATGTCTTAATGCTAAAAGCTAACTTGTCAATAATCATAACCATTTATGTAGAACGAGTTCAACATTTCAAAATTTTACTGTCAACCTTTTTTTTAAATATCCTGCCCCATCCAGGCTGTGATTAGTCAGTTCACTAAAACTAACACATACTGACGTCCCTCTATCTACTGTGAGCAGACAGTCAGATTTGAAAGAGTCAACAGGCTTGTCTGCAGTCAGGTTGTAAGTCTATCTGGATCAGCATCTATTTCAATCTGTTCAGTCTGGCTCTGATGAAGCTGTGAGGACTGAGGTTTCTCTTTCATCTTCATCACTCTTCACAGAGACAAGAGAGAATGGAAACTGTGATATCAGCCTCCTCCAGTTCTGGAAGCTGCTCTCCTTCCTGACTGGTCTAGTTTTTCTCCTTAATGTGAAGGGGCTCTGGTGGGTCCTCCTGGTCCAGACTGGGGCTCCGATACTCTTAATTGTGAAGGGGCTCTGGTGGGTCCTCCTGGCCCAGACTGGGGCTCCACTTCTATTTAATGTTTGGGGGCTCTGGGTCCTCCTTGGCCACTCTCTTGCTCCCCTCGTGCTGATCAAGGGAACCTCTTCTTTGCTCCCTGACAGATGCTGGACATTAGCAGGACACACTGGAACACAGACACATTAAGGAAAACTGTGAGTTAATGCTAACTGAAGTGGACCATCATGCATATTAGACCAGTTGAGAGACCTGCTGTATTATGTGCAATGATGTGCAAAATGTGCAAAGATGAAGCTGGCATAATGCTGTAATGTTGTATTAGATTATATCAGATTGTATTACAGTTAAATTTGGAAAATTGATGATTAAAGTTGGTGAAATTTATGGATATAGAAGAAACCAAATTTTTAAGTAAGATGTTCAACATGAGGACAACTTGCTGTCTGACTATATTCCTCAGTTTTTATAGTTCTGTTCTGTATCAATTAGATGTCCATTTAGAGCATGGTTCTCATTGACAGATCTAATGAGAAATGGTGCTTCACATCGTACAATGAATGTTTAAAAATATGTGCACAGTGTGCGGGTGAAGACTACAACCAACATGACAGTAAACTTTTGAAATGTTTATCTTGTTATTTTGCATGAATGGCTATGATGATTGAGGAGTTAGCACTTGGCATCAACACATTAGAGACTGACAACCATGTAGGGAATTTTTCATGTGCATGGATTTATGGAATAAAACAACCCACAGAAATGAAACTGCTATAATCAAAACTAATATAATGGGACCATCCAAAGTGTCATCCAAAGCAAATAAGTATTTTGAATGCCTTTGCCAGTGCTACATTGTACAATAAAACTTCTAAATGGAAATGAGAAATTACAGATGTGATAACTTTCCACAGACATGGTATCACTCAACAGAGTTACCAAAGAGGGTTTTACAAACATGATCCGGTTGCTTGATAAGCAGCATGTAATACTATCACACACCTATTTTTCTTCCAAAATGCTGTTTGCAAACATCGACTATTCATTTGGAAAGTCGATGTTTGCAAACAGCATTTTCCCCAGAGGATCATACAAGTAACTCGGATGCAACGGGGATGAGAGAAGCGGTGGCTGCCTGGGGGCCTAGATGAGCAACGTTGAGTCTGTATTAGGGGTCGACCAATAATCGGTCAGGCCGATTATTGGTGCCGATATTCAGCATTTTCAGCTGCCAGTCAGCAAGCACAACAATTTGGAACGTCCTGAAAAAGAAAGAAACTACTGGTGTACTGAGCAACAGACGTCCAACAGGTCGGCCAAGGAAAACAACAGTAGCTGATGACAGAAATATGTTGAGAGCTGTGAAGAAAACATCACCAACGACCTCCACAGTGCAGAGTGAAGGTATCACAATCCACTGCTGGAAGAAGAAAAAACAAGCAAACAAGCTCATCTGTGAAGCCTGGTGGAGGTGATGTCACGGCTGCTTCTGGATCAGGCTCATTAATATTTATTTATGATGTAACTGATGATGGTCGCAGCAGAATGAATTTAGAAGTGGACAGAAACATTTTGTCTGCCAATTTACGGAGAAATGCATTGAAACTAATGGGGAGGAAGTTTATCGTGCAGCAGGACAATGAGCCAAAGCACACTGCCAACAAAACAAAGGACTTCATCAGGGGGAAAAAGGTTTTAGACTGGCCAAGTCAATCACCTGACCTGAACCCAACAGAGCTGCATTTCACCTCCTTAAGAGGAGACTGAAGGGAGAAACACCCCGAAACAAACAAGAACTTAAAGAAGTTGCGGTAAAAGCCTGGAATAGCATCACAAATGAAGAATGCAACAGTTTGGTGATGTCGATGGGTCGCAGGCTTGACGCAGTTATTGCAAGCAAGAGTTATGCCACCAAATATTAAATGTTATTTCCTTTAAGATTAGTTGTTCCATTACTTTTGCTCACCTAAGAATGCTGTGGTCTAATACAAACGGTACAAATATATATATATATATATATACACACACACACACATACACACACACACACACCTATACATGCACACGTTTTATGGTGAATCATCGATTTTGGACGGCACGCCATTCCACAAAAACTCACTGTTTGCACAACGTTTAACTGTCATTGGGTTTAGAGTCCACAGCGAAAATCTAAACTTTGAACCTAATCCCTAGGAGGAGCTCGTTAAAGTACGGAGAAAGTACAAAGTGTGTGAATCGACAAAAATGACCATTAAATCCAAAATGGACGACTTCCTGTTGGGTTTAGGCAATGGCTCCAAGAGGCTTTTTTGTACAGCTGGACATGATAAACGTACCACAGAAATTTCTTACACGTAGGTGAAACTTTGTCCAGGGGCTGATCTGTAGGGGGCGCCATTATGCCAACCCTCTTCTGGAAACCCATAACATACGAAATGTTTTGGCCACGGAATGGAATTATGTGCAAATATGTTGCATCTGTTCCCTGTATCTATAAATGCTGTAAAATTATACTTTGACTTCTAGTAGAGGTTCTTTGACAAGTTCTTGTACTTGAACTTGAGGATGGATTAGTGTGCAATCCACAGCCTCCTCTGATGACCAGGGAGTCTGTCAAGTATGCGTGAGTACACTTGGAGCAGTGGTTGGGGTGAAATGTGTAGTATGCATCTTATAGGGGCCACACGGATGATGTACTGGTGTGTGGTGTTTGACCAACTAAGAAGGGCAAAGATAATGTTACTTCTTTAAGAATTGAAACATTTCAGAAGAAAATGACACCAACTCAAGACAGAGCTCTACGCTTGCTTTCCTCCCAATGAGCACATGAGCTCCTACATGAAAACATTCAAGAGCACATGAAGAAATTTAGAGAGGAAAAATGTTCAGAGTAACACAGAGTTTATTAAACAATTTATGGCATACCTGTTTATACTGTTTGTGTGCTCCTTCTCCTTGAATGCAGTTATGTGTAAAACCAGTGGAGGACTCGGGAAGTAAAGACCCTGATTTCTAGACACTCGGCATGGGTCTTAAAATATTAGCAAATATTTTTAAAACATGTACACACCTTATTAAAACACTGATCACTCATCAGGAAACTTTGCTGTGATTGGTGAATTGCAACTTGTGGAAAGTGGGACGGACACATGATCCACCAGCAACACCCACACAACTCACGGCACACTTTATGTGAACAAGATTAACGAACAATATTTTTAACAATTAATTAGTAAAAGAGAATAAGGGGAGTGTGTTGCTCTCAGGAAGAGGAGGCTAGAAGGAGAACATATTGGCACAATGGCATCTTGGCTCTGGCTAAATCTTCATCTGACCACTGCAGAGACTCTACCTGGAGGAAGTAGTACAAATAAGTGTACTAAAACAATGTTATAAAATTAAATAAAAAGTGTAATGTTCATTTAATAGAATGTAAATTGTGATGTAAGTAAATTCATTATAATTTATTATAATAGTCTCCTACATCCAGACTGGTCAGTTTACTAAAAGTGGCACACACTGCTGTCTTGTTCCAGCTGTCCCTCTTTTCTACTGTCAGCAGACCAACCACAAACCGGCGATATAGCAGCTTTATTACCTCAATAGATAAACTACAGCTGCTGCTCATGAACGTCCAAGAAAGTTATTCTCTACTTTTCACCTGATACACCAGGTGAAAAGCAGTAAAAGCAGAGGTGTGTTGTGGTGTGAAACCACAGTGGATCAGAAAATGATCAGTCCTTGTGGTTTAACAGTATCTGGATCAGAGTTCCTGGCTGGTTCTGGTCCTCCACAGTCCTCTCCATCACCTTATGCTTCCATCTGTTCAGCTGAGCTGCTGGCTCGAGGCTCTGCCTCTCGGTTCTCCTCAGGTTGGTTTCCATGTGAGGACTCGTCACCACACTTGTGGTTTTTGAGTTGTTTACACCAAGTGAATCTTCTGTCACAAACCCTGCAGCTGAAGGGTTTCTCTCCTGTGTGGAGTCTCAGGTGTGTCTTCCAAGCTCCCTTGTGAGTAAATCTTTTCCCACACTCAGAGCAGCTGAATGGTTTCTCTCCTGCGTGTGCTTGCAAGTGTTTCTGTAAATGTCCCTTTTGAGTAAATCTTTTCCCACACTCGGAGCAGCTGAATGGTTTCTCTCCTGTGTGAGTTCTAATGTGGATGTCCAGATTTTCCTTCAGAATAAATGTTTTCCCACACTCAGAGCAACCGAACGGTTTCTCTCCTGCGTGAGATCGTATGTGTTTCTGCAAATGTCCCATCTGAGTAAATCTTTTCCCACACTCAGAGCAGCTGAAGGGTTTCTCTCCTGTGTGAATTCTCATGTGTGTCTGCAAATGTCCCTTTAGATTAAATCTTTTCCCGCACTCAGAGCAGCTGAAGGGTTTCTCTCCTGTGTGAGTTCTCATGTGATTCTGCAAATGTCCCTGTACAGTAAATCTTTTCTCACACTGAGAGCAGCTGAAAGGTTTCTCTCCTGTGTGAGTTCTCATGTGATTCCGTAAATCTCGCCTTACAGAAAATCCTTTCCCACACTCAGAGCAGCTGAAAGGTTTCTCTCCTGTGTGAGTTCTCATGTGATTCCGTAAATCTCGCCTTACAGAAAATCCTTTCCCACACTCAGAGCAGCTAAACCGTTTATCCGTTTTTGGGGAGGACCCATCAACACACTTGTGGGTTTTCAGTTGATGGTGCCGAATGAATCTTCCTTCACAAACACTGCAACTGAATAGTTTCTCTCCTTTGTGGATTCTCATGGGTATCTTTTGGGTAAAACTGTTCCCATACTCAGGGGAGCCTAATGAGTTTCTGTCTTTATTACATCGCTTTTCACCTGCTGGTATTATATTATTTTTCAAAGTGTTTAAATCAAGCTGTGGTTTCCTGTTGTCTTTCCAAAAACCAGTGTCACCACGATTGTTGGAAAAGGTTTCACCGTACTCAAAGCAACTGAATCGTTTCCAGTCAGTATCACATGTTGCATCACTCAGAGAGTTTAAACCTGACTGGGGTTCACTGGTTTCATCCCAGTCAGCATCACGGTCTTCAGTCTCCGGTTGTAAAACAGTATCTGGATCAGAGTTTCTGGCTGAGTCTGGTCCTCCACAGTCCTCTCCTTCAGCTTCTGCTTCCATCTGTTCCGTTTGGCTTTGATGAAGCTGTGAGGACTGAGGTTTCTCTTCATCTTCTTTTTCTTCTTCACCCTTCACAGGGACAGGAGTGAATGGGAACTTGGTGATATCAGCCTCCTCCAGCCCTGGAAGCTGCTCTCCCTCCTGACTGGACCAGAATTCCTCCTGTTCCTCTTTAATATGTCGGGGCTCTGGTGGGTCCTCCTGGTCCAGACTGGCACTCCATTCCTCTTTAATGTGTGTGGGCTCTGGGTCCTCCTGGTCCAGACTGGGACTCCATTCCTCTTTAATGTGTGTGGGCTCTGGGTCCTCCTGGTCCAGACTGGGACTCCATTCCTCTTTGATGTGTGTGGGCTCTGGGTCCTCCTGGTCCAGACTGGGACTCCATTCCTCTTTGATGTGTGTGGGCTCTGGGTCCTCCTGGTCCAGACTGGGACTCCATTCTTCTTTAATGTGTGTGGGCTCTGGGTCCTCCTGGTCCAGACTGGGACTCCATTCTTCTTTAATGTGTGTTGGCTCTGGGTCCTCCTGGTCCAGACTGGGACTCCATTCTTCTTTAATGTGTGTGGGCTCTGGGTCCTCCTGGTCCAGACTGGGGCTCAACACCTGCTGCTCAGGGAGAATCTCTTTTTTGCTCTGTGACAGCTGCTGGACATCTGCAGGACTCACTGAAACACAGACACATTGAAGAAAACGGTGTTCATGCATACTCATGGTGTAACATGCATTAACCCTATACCTTGCATTTTAACGGCACAGTTTACATTTTAGCGATCAAATTGCTGTAACAGACTAACAAAATTCCACCAAACCTCATTTTTAGCTTTTCACGGAATAGGTTGTGTAATGGCAATTATATCCACTGGGTGGCAATGTTGTAAAAGCTTTTGTTTGCTGACATGAGCTGAGACTGAATCAGAAGTGTTTTGTTGTGATCTTTCTTCAAACATTGGCTGCCAGTGACGCTAAAAGTTGAGGTAATATATTTTTTAGGGCAGCACTATTAATCTAATCGCAAAAAGTGTGTGAGACACTCTCTTCTGTGTGTGCGCTGCAGTCTGCTCATTATCTCCGTCCACACCGGGCTCTCACATGTGCCTTTAAAAATGGATAAGCCTACATGCAATTCCAAAAATGTTTCACGAGTAGTGTGCAAGTAACTTTTAAGACAACAGCCTACCGTAACCCCCCCTCCCCGCAAAGCAGCATAGCACTGCGTAGGATCATACGCCGTATTTCTTTTCTAGACTGTATAGATGTATCTTAATCTTATTTATACGGTCTGCGGTTTTACCTTCAGATTGTCATATCTTTAAAACAGTTTACTCTTTACACATTACTAATAGTCCTACTCATTTTTTGTACAATATCATCCATCATACCATCGTAGCTTAGCCTTGTTGATAAACACTATGCACTGAATACATATAGCTACAGGTGTCTAGATTGATAGAGCTGTCCCTGACTAAGGATTTACATACTTGAATCTGAATTGTCAAGTCGACTGATCGTCGAAGCATGCGTTTGTGCGGTGGCCTCTTTCTTTAATCATTTTTTA